AGTATGCTCTACCATTCAGCCCTCAATTGATTTACATATTTATATGAAAATATTATGCAGTTAATGTTGTACAGGACACATACAATTTGTTGTAGAAATACTATGTGGTAACACTATTTTTTTTATAATGAGAGCTGTTGTATACATATGGTGATCATGTATCCTGGTTTATCTGGGACAGTATGCCTGTTGCCCACCACTCCCCATACGTCATTAAAAATCTACATTGGGACGGTGATAACGGCATAACCAGTTCACCTGGTAAAGCTGAGTTGATTTTGTCTCAGCGCCTCACCATCAGTGATGTAATGCCCTGGGTTAGATAGGGGCTTCACTTTGGGAAACTCCTTCCTAGAAGGCAGGTGGGATAGGCACCTACAGAGCTCTGTTCTGCCCATCAGGCTGGGAACATGGGGCCATCCTACGTACATTTCCCACATGTTCTCCTGGGTATTCCTACTGAAATGTCTCCGTTCTCTATTCATCATCTTTGTCTCTTATTTTGTCAACCCAAAGTTTCCACTTTAAGAAAGGAGGACATTAGGGAGGGTAGGCAGGGAATCAGAAACAAGATAGCTGACTTAGTCAAGTTGTTGGTGCGGGTGTGTTGTGGAGTTAGTGCTGACTCCTAGTGGCCCTCTGTAGGGTTTCTGAAGCTGTTAATCATTACAGGAGCAGAAAGCCTCATCTTTCTCCCATGGAACAGCTGTTAGTTTGAACTGCTGACCTTGAGATTGGCAGGCCGACTCTGGGCTTTCAAACTGGAATTGCCCCGATGGATGCTGCAGCGGAAGGCCTTGTTGCTGCTGCTCATGTTGTTAAGTTGTTACTGAGTGCCGTAGAGTCGGTTCTGACTCACAGTATCCTTGTATATATAGGGTTTCCAAGGCTGTACAGCTCTCTCTCCCACTGACTGGCTGGTAGACTCAAAGTGCTTATCATACAGAGCCACTGCATTGCCTGTTGGTAAGTTAGAATTCTAAAATTGCCTCTTTACATCCTTTCACACAGAGTTGGCATATTCCATGGCGTTGCCCATGTGGTTAACTAATGGGTGTGAGTCGTTTGTGCCTCTGTATAAGCTTCTAATTTATTGACCAGGAAAGGACTTGGGGAGTGACGGGAATTCTGCTTCTAAGGCACCAGATGATGGGGCGTCGTCCATGCACACTTCGTTATCATACATTTTTTCTGCTTTCTGTTTGTGAGCATATTGCTTTGAGTTTGGGGTGTGTAATGATTCCTATATGAAAGTACATTTGAATAGATAGCTTGTTTTTTGTCATGTTGCTAATTTTGTTAAGCTTGCTGGCAGAGTTCTTTGAATGGGAACCAGGTTTATTTAAATTGTGCTTGTGCAGGCTTTCCTTTGTGACACATTTCATTGTTAAACTGGTAATACAGTTAATAACTTCAGCCTCTGTGCCTCTCACTCACAGTGCTCGGAATGAAGACTTCCCTTGGTCCTTATTGCTTTCTTGCTTTATGAACACTGAAATGGTGAAAATCCATCCCGAGTGTTAGCCAAGAGTAGGGCTAAGGTCTGGCATAGTCTGTAATGTTTGTCACATCCCCGTGACAACTGCAGTGGGTTTTCAAAATACTTCTAAGAAATTGCTCAGCTACCAGTTTCAAGTTAGTAAATAAAGATGAAAAGCAAAAAAATGGGCATGAGGAGGACATGAGGCGGCACCTGCCTTCCTGGGTGTGATCTTCTGTTGGAAGTGCGTCTTCAAGCAGGTTTGCCGAAGTGAGACGGAGATCTGAGGAGGGCTGTGGGTCAGTGTGGCCACTGAGCAGGTGCGCATGTGGCTCAGAGTTCTCTGGGGAACGTGGTGGCATCAGGTATTGTGGGAACAGCCGTGTGAGAGGTGCCCTGCTCGGCCCATAAACCTGTGGTGGGCTGACAGAGCTAGTTCAGTTTCATCTTCTTTTGATCTTGTACCTTTAACCTTCATTCACAAGAAGTCGTAAACTTTACAGAGTAGTGCCTTTTATATGGCTTATGGCAAGAAGTTCGGTTTTTAAAACTAAAGAGAAAAACTTTGATGTAATTTTCATAACTATGAAAATATGTTTAATTACATCTACATTTGAATGAATCTGTGGTGAGGTGAGTAAGGTCAACATCCTCAGTTTGATGGAGCTGCCATTTAATTTGAATTGATAGTGGTGTTCCTTTGGGCCGTAATTACTCTCTCTGTACTCCTGTGAGGGAGGTGCAGGGCTGCGCAGTGACTGTTGTGCATAAGATCAAAGGTCACTGTGATTTGGAACCCACTTGATGTCACCCAGCAACACAGCGAGGACTCTTGTGATCCCTTACTAAAATACAGATGGTAACAAAGGGGTTTAGCACTTCTATATAGACAAAATGAAACGTCAGGATTGTGTTCAAGAATTTTCCAGTATTCACCTAAAGGTAATTCAGTGTCATACACTGTCTTTAATGCTAAAATGACTGTCAAGCTTCTTTAAAACCAATGATTCCCACCTTCTTTCCTGCACGGGTACTTCCAACAGGCATGGCCCCCTTGTGTTAGCAATTGCTACAGGTTGAGAAGCCTGCTTAGTGATTCTGTTTGCACCTCCTCACACACACCCCACCGCTCTTATCTTCTCCAGGCACACCTTGATAATCGCTGATTTACATAATACTAAAATAGTCCTGGTGTGGCGCTGTGGGTTAATGCGCCAGACTGCAAAGCTGTTTGTACTGCAGGTTGGTGGTTCAAGCTCACCAGATGCTCCTAGGAAACCCTATACATGGTTGCTATGTGTTGGACCCAACTCGACAGCACTTAACAGCAACAACAACAACAAAGTAATGCTGGAGGGGAGTGTGGGAACAGCTAAACTCCCTTAGCTCTGCCTCACCAGATGACACAACACTGGCTCGATTGACATATCACCAGCGGAATGCTTTATGGCTCCATCGCATGAACATGATGAGCTTCCTAACAGTTTCCTGCCGATACTGTCAGCTTCAGTGAGGCAGGAGTTGGTCATTTCAGGTCAATGTGAAGGGAGACGTGATCTGTGCAGTACTGTTTTAATTTACAGCTTTTATTGTGATTGATTGAGTGAAGGTTTACAGGGAAGCTCATCAGTTTTACATTCAGCAAATCATTGCCATGATTACAGTCCTCTCCATGCACCATCAGCTAGCAATAATTACATCTAGTACCTTTTTTTTTTTAATGTAGACATGTTGTTGTTAAGTGCCATCGAGTCAGTTCCGACCCATAGCAACCCTGTATAGGGTTTCCAAGGAGCAGCTAGTGAGCTTGAATCTCTGACCTTGCAGTTCAAATGGCTTTGCAGTCTGACGCATTAACCCAGTACCGCACATTGTAAATACATATTCATTTAAATGTCCAAAGGGCACCCTTTGCAAGCCAGCCTCCTGCCCGCAGGTACACTGCCTTTCTCAGTCCACGGCCCATAGTCCTCTGCTGCTCTGTCTCTCTGTGCCATCACCTCTATCTCTGTTGTCACTGCTTGTTTCTGGTTAGGATCCTTCTCTCCTCTCATGTTCTTCCATCTTGATGGTCCTAGGATCCTCGGTTCCTGAGATGACAGATTAACTGCTTCCCAATTTTAGTTGCACGTCTTCTACATTTACAGTTGTGACAATCGCCATTAGACCTGATAATAATTACTCACAATTGAATCATAAAATCCTGTCCCCCTCATCACCAGATAGACCCATCTCGACAAGTGGAAAACTATTCGGTGGAGTTTCTATCTTACTTCCCTCATTCAGACCCTAAAGCACCCTCTTGTAAGCCAGCCGCTCCGTGCCTTTATAGCCTCCCAGTTTTGATAGCCAAAGTCTAAGGTGCCTGTTCCTATCAAGCAGTGTACTGAGGAGGCACCCTTGATCCTTGATATGAAGAATCCTTTCCTTTTGGTTGGAATTTTGGGCAACTTCATACATAAGCAAAGGTCCAATTGATCAGGTTGTAGCAATTTACGCTTCCTGTATCAGACTTTGTTATATTCATATGGTCATGTTCTGGTCTGTAAGCCATCCACACGAGGTCAGATGGGTACTATCTTTAAGTTGGGCAGTTCTCACACACCTTCCCCCACTTCCGACCAGCTGGTCACTTCACTCTTTAACTCTAGCCTCCAGTGGCTAGGTCAGTGTCTCTGGGCTCAGGAGTTCACACGTCTCCCTGAATTTCAAACCAGTCAGCCCTTCCTCTTCTCTCTCTCATCTGAAGGTTGTCACACGTCTATGGAGCATGACCAATCTCAGTCCTTGTCTTCTTGGCTGCGTTTCCCCCACTTACAGTCACAAGTAGACCAGGGCAGTTGTTCGATAACCTTTTATAACCAGACTTCTTCCCATTTCATTTGAGGATGGGAGACCTACTGGTTTTACAAAACTTATTTCTGTTAGGAGATCAAGACCCACTGAATCTGAAAGTGAGAACAAAATTGAACAGAACAAAAATCTTCTAGAATGGAATCTTTTCTTCTTCTTGACAATGTTGCTGCTGTTGCCGTCTGCTGTGAAGTCAGTTTCTGAGGCTGTAAATCTTTACAGGAGTAGAAAGCCTCATATTTCTCCTCTGGAGCGGTTGGTGGATCCAAACTACTAACCTTACAGTTAGCAGCCCAACACATAGCCCACTATGCCAGCAGGTCTCCTTTTTATAATGTTATCAAGGTGCAATTTACATAGTATCATATTCATCCATCTTCAAGGAACAATTCTGTGATTTTTAGCAGATTTATAGTTGTGCATCGATCACAATCTAGTGTTTGAACATTTGCCCGTGACTGATGGAATGCTCTAGAAGACGGGGAAAGGGATGATAAAGGCGAGGGAGGAACAGTTGGAAGGGTAAAGTCCTTTAAGTCCGGAAGTCGGGGGGCAGGGCATATGGAAGAGGAGGGGCTTTTGTAGTTACTGAAACAGAACCCTTTGTTGATGGATAGCTGGTGATCTCCTCCCTGCCTGTAACTAGCCTCCTTTTCCTCTGTTGTAGCATCAGTCACTACGTCATCGTCATGTCCATGACCACAGTGCTGGTGTTTCTCAATGGCCTGGCCCAGCTGCTCACAACAACGCAACTCAGGCTGAGTGGCAGACCCAAGAGCCACCTCGTGTGATGTTGGCAAAAGTCATCATGCAGCCGTTTCTTACACTCCTTGGAAACTCCGGCATGCCATCACATCCCTTCATGTGTTCAGTAAGAAGATGGAGACTGATGTGTATAGCATGTTCTGTTCCTCAAAGGGAAATGATATTTGGAATTCTGAGTTTACAGGTTATAAGGCGATTCTTTTTTTTTTTAAATGTTTCCCATGCAGAAAATAGTGATGGAGTCTGGAGAAAAGCATAGTAAAGCACTCCCTAAGTTCTTTTTTCTCTTTGCTGGTCAGCACTTCTCACTGTTTTTCTTAGTTTCACCTGCAGCAGTCTGCCCACCCACCCCCCCAGCTTCCCACATACCCCCCAGGAGAAAGTGCTGCTGTGTCTCAAATCAGCACTGAATCTGAACCTGAAGGGGGTCTGCAGGGGGCGCCAGTGCTCAGCACTAGATCTGCAAGTAACCACTAAACCAAATCACTAGAAAGACAACCAGACTTTGTTACTATACATTTACTAAAACGTCAGTAGAGAAAAGGCTAATAGATGTTGGTCTTTTCTCTTCCGTACACAGTAATATACTGTCAGAGACTTCCTAGTGTTGGCTAGTGGATGGCATGTTCAAAGTCAAACAGCTAAATGAAGGTTTGACCTTCACATTTTTTCTCCCATTTCTGGATTCTCAAGGAATTTTTAGCAGTGGAGAAGTAGGAAGTGCTTGGTATTTGTGACTAGCCCGTGGGAAAAATGTAAAGAGAAGTAGTATTTAATTGTAGACTCAACATCTGTTGTGCCTAAAGCATTGTTTTAGCTGGATTTTTTTTAGATTAAGGTTTAAGCTTTCTGACAGTATCATAAGAATTAGTATGAAAGTTGCTCTCCTTTCTGATTGTGAAATTCTAACCCAAAGCCCTTAAGTCCCCTTATTACATTCAACTTTCCGTTTGTAAAACAATCCTAGTGAACATAGTATTTTGAGAGCAATTTTTATGTGAATTTTCCTGAAATGACCTTTGAGTATTACTCTAGATAAGGCCTTTTACCCTGGAGAGTTATTTTTATTTTTTTTTTTCTTGGCACAACCTATGTAGTGTGTCAGTAGCTGCTTCTGGCTGACGCTAAACTTTTCTGGTATGAGTCCCATTTTTTTTTTAAAGAAAAATCGCTTTTTCATTAAATGATAGCATTACTAATTTGCATTCATGCCTAGGAAGCTCTCTGCAAATGACTAGATTTTCACATTAGTTGGTGAGTGAACCCATACAGTTTAGAAGACTCGAAGATCAATTTCAAAAATGTGCTTTGTTAATTTCTAGTTATGAGCAAGTTGAGCTATGCATTATTTGTGTCACTACAGCAGTATAGACACTACAGTACAGAGAGGGAGGAGTGTTGGTGTTACTACTGTCAGACTTCACACATCAGTCTGGAATAGCCAATCTGCACGGACAGAAGGGGACGCTGGCAGGCAGGGAGCCCATGAGCTTTTCTTTTTTATACTGCCTTAAAGGATTTTTATATTAGTTTTTCACAAGTCAGAGAAAACTGATTTTATAAACATTTATTATTTAACTCCTTTTACATCTAGTTTTGCCTTTTGTCTTTTCCCAGATTTTTACCCAGGCTTTAATATTTGATTACCACATTGCACCAGGTGCCCTGTGCTCCGGGAAGCAGGCTTGGTCATGCTACTGCAGTATAGATTTGGGGTGAATTTACAAAACGGGAAGACATACCTCAGCCTTGCTGAGCTGTAACTGGGCCTCTTGGGATCCCCAGGGAACAGTTTGCTGCAGGGCTTTTCCTACTACAGGCACACTTGGGAAGATAATGTGGGTTGGGTGTAAGGCCACCGTAATAAAGTGAACATTGCAGTAGAGCGATGGGATTTTTGGTGTTGACATTAGACTGGGCTCTGTGAAATGTGCACTAATAGCGTGAGGAAACAATTATGAAATAGTGTGAGAATGACCAAAATGTGACACAGAGACACAGGTGAGCACATGCTGCTGAAACCGTGGTGCCCAGAGACCGTGTGGATGCCACAAATCTTCCATGCATGAAAAATGCACTGTCTGTGAAGCACAGTCCAATGAGGGATGCCTGTCCATGGCTTATCAAGTACCTAAAATGTTTGCAAGTGTCTATTTTTGTATAGAGAATACAGACCAAAAAAAAGGATTGAAGTAAATGATATTTTTACTTAGTTTTCTCTTCTGTGTCATATGTCCACATTGGGATTTGACTAACATTGCTTCTCTGTAGGAATTGATGGGGGCATAACAAGTTGAGAGTATACTAAACAATAAGACAGTTGTGCTATGTTGCAGAGGCTTGGGGTAAAAAAACGATAAGATCTAAGTGTGGACCATCCTAATTTACCAGAGGGTTGTTGGTAGTCTATTGAATAGTTAATGTGCAGCATTTAGAACACAAAATGCCTTTTTTCTCCAAGGTTGTAAATCTTTATGGGAGCAGAAAGCTTCCTCTTTCTCCCGCCGGGCGGTTGCTAGTTTTGAACTGCTAATAGTAATACCAGGGAAAGAGGAGTAACGGGGCTATGTGGAAACTTTGCAACATCATCACAATTCTGTAAACCTTAAAACATTTGCAGTGAAAAACTTGTTTTAAAAAAGTTCACTGTAATTGTATTTATAACACATAAAATTGTGTTTCTATGCACAAACCATTTTACCTATGTGCATAAGTGGCATCATAGCTGATAAACTGTGAGTTGAGGGGTTTCTGTTTCATGTGCCTCTTCTCCCCTCCTCTCCTCTATCTCAACTCTCCGCTCTTGGGGCCTGGTTAGCAATCCAGTGTGGATGTTGCTGTTGTTAAGTGCAGTCTTGTCGGTTCCAACGCATAGTCACCTCGTACAGGTCTCCCAAGGAGTGGCTGGTGAGTTTGAACCGCCGACCTTGTGGTTCATATGGACCCGGATGTCTTTTTTGGCATGAATTAGTTTTCATCAATCATTACGTTCAACAGAAGCTGTGCTATCATCATCTGCTCAGCACGTCTCTCTTCTGTAATTGTCTCTTTGGGAAGATTTCATTTATGCGTGGACATCTGACCCACGTTGAACCAGTCTGAGTTCTTTGCAATATTTTCAAGGTGGAATCGAAGATGCAAAGAACAGCGGCTGTTGGTGGCCAGGTTTTCGGTCACATGCAGGAAGTGAGACTTGGAGAAACCATTGTGCAGATGAGCAGAGGCGGCTCCTGGCGGGGCTGAAGTCACCAACTTCATTTGTTCCTGACCCCCAACTGCATCTGCAACTTTCTTATCATTGCTGGTTTATTTCTTCCTTCCAGTCACCTTCCAATAATGCCCCCTCTAAGCTACCACTAGTTGGATTTGTATCACAACCAAAAACCCTCGGCAATAGTGAATGCATACGGGCTTACTGCCTCAAGGGAAAGTTCTCGTAGTACTTCGTAATTCCCAGTGGTGGAAAGTCCTTCTTCTAGATGTGATCTTGGCAGAAAAAGAAGCGGGAAGGGCAAAGAGATGGGAAGGCAGATTTTATGTTTGAGATGAAGATATTATTGAAAGTTTTTCAGTGTTCTTAAACCACACGTAAAGGAATGTATGCATATTTCAATGGAGACACCAGTCTTCCAGGTTGATTAATACCAGTGTGTTCCTTAGTCGAGTGACAGTACTTGTTACTACACCCAGTAAAAAGACGGGGTTACTTTACTGCAGCTCTAACACCTTGAATTGTTGTTGGTTCTAAGTGCCGTGGATTCTGTTCTGACCTGTAGCGTATCTGCATTGGGTTTCTGAGGCTGTAAATCTTTATGGGAGCAGAAAGCCTCATCTTTCTCACACTGAATGGCTGGTGAATTTGAATTGCTGACTTTGGAGTTCGCAGTCCCACGCTTATCCTGTGGAACCTGCGTGCTCCCATTATGTAGTGCAAACAGTAATGAAACACTTTAGCTTTCTTTAGCCCCTATCTCTAATAAATGAGTGGAGCTTTTCACACGATTCCTCCTAAAGTGACAATTCTTTCCATGATGCTCCTGGAGGCAAGCAGGGGAACAGTTGACTTTGCATGCGTGGAGAACCTGTGATGGCCTTCTCATTCAGTGTCCTGTTTAAGTGAATCACTGCAACCCTGTCTTAGCCAGACCTCGGGAAACCTGGTGTGAGCCCACGCTTTCAAGAGGACGTCATAGACTGCGCAGGCTTGCTTGTACACTTACACTTCTAACTAACTTGGTTGTGGCAGACACTGCTGGCTACCCAGCCAACATCTGTTCTTCTCTTAAAAAAAAAAAAAAAAAAAAAAAATTGTTGTTATTGAGAACAGACTATACATAGCAAACACACACACACAAACCATGCAGCTTCTATGTGTACAATTCAGCGACCCCAATTGCATCTTTCAAGTTGTGCAACCCATTCTCACCCACTGAATCATGGAGCATTTTTGTTGTTTTTAACTTTTTGTTGTGAATTGAGTGAAGGTTTACAGGACAGATCACCAGCCCACATGCAGTGGATCATACACTTCATGTCAGTACAATGACGGCAATCCTTCCCTTGTGCCATTGGTTAACAGTATTTACTTCTAGACACTTGAACTCTGCTGTCTTCCCTGTATCTTTCACTGCCCTCATCTTTCCTTTACCAACCTCCCTTTTGTTGTATCATGCCTTCCCCATCATGCATATTAACATGTGTCTACCCTCTACCAGTGAAGAATTTTCCCTTCCCTCCCACCCCAGATATCCTTCAAAAAATGTTTTCTTTAGTAAAAAAAACTTTTCTTAACTTATTACAACATTGGTTGCATACAATGTTTGTCCTTTTGTGATTGACTAATGTCACTTAGCATAATGTTCTCCAGGTTCATCCATGCTGTGAGGTGTCACTCAGATTTGTCATTCATTTTTCGTGTTGCATAGTATTCTGTTGTGTGTCTGTACTGTCGTTTGGATCTGTTCTGCTACTGTCTCTTGCCTGGTGCATTTAATCCACTTACATTCAGTGTAATTATTGATATGCG